CATGTTTGAAAATATAAGTATTTTTAGCATAGTGTCAAGTCAAACATCTTTAACATCGACTATTAATAGCAAAAGTATAAAAAAGATCAATCATATAAAATTGGTGTTACTAAATTTATCGTCAAACAAACTATCTTAATATGCAACTTTTATTTAAAGCATCTTGATCTTGCATACCATTACTGCATCGCAACAAAATGATCGAGAACCGAACTACTCCCTCCGTTCCAAAAAAATACAAACCTGAGTTTTCATGTCCAACGTTTTACTGTCCGTCTTATATGAAATTTTTTTATAATTAGTATTTTCATTGTTGTTATAGATGATAAAACATGATTAATACTTTATGCGTGACTTGTCTTTTTAATTTTTTTCATATTTTTTTAAATAAGACGGACGGTCAAACGTTGGACACGAAAACGCAAGGTTTGGACACGAAAACGCAGGGTTTGTCTTTTTTTTATTTTTTGGACAGAGGGAGGAGTCAGTTAGGTGTAGGCGGTGTATACTTCTGTTGGATCTCCAAGCCAGCAATATACTCCCTGAGGACCTTCCTGTAATTATGAGTATAGCAGGCACAAAAACAACCTCCAAGGGCGAGCCCAAGGACAGCAGATGCAATTAATTACCTTCTGTGGAACCTGCTGTTCCTTATTGTCTCCTCCATTCTCCGGCTATCACAACACAACAAAATAGTACAGAGAATCAAACCATGTGTTACTATTATATACTATGCGTTTAGATCTTTCCATTTGGATGTAGAGGCCAGTTTAATCCATTAGTAGAAAAGAAAAAAGACCTTTCGAGTTGGTTTAAATAATTAAGAACAGAGAGTTAGTTCCTTCACCTTGCAACTTCAAGCTTAGCTACTTCTACAAGTAGCAGCCGTATTTCCTCATCGACATTCTTCCCAGCCTTCAAGGAGGATGTGATCCCTGTGGTTCCGGTCCTGCCAACTCCCTAGATTTTAAAGAAAGCAAGCTGAGATGACAATATAGGTCCAAATAAACTATTCAGAGGACCGAGTACTCCATCCGCCTCAAAATATAAGTATTTTTAGAATAATGCCAAGTCAAACTTTTTGAATTTTGACTATTAATATGTAAATTTGATGTTACTAAGTTTATCATTAAACAAATAATCATAATATGCAACTTTTTTAAAAAAACATATATTGTTGGTCAATGTAGTATCTCAAAGACCGTGTCGAGATCTAAAAATGCTTATATTTTGGGACGGAGAGTAGTTACTAGAGCAGGTACAATAGCAGGCTATAAGCCAGCTATAAACATATTTTAAAGAGATAAAGGAAGAGAGAGAAGAGCAGCGGGCTACAGATCTGTAGCTAGCTGCAGCACGGACTCCAAGACGTAATGTGTGTATAACAGGTGGGACTAGGTATTAATAGTATAGTAAGCAACTATTGTAAGAATTGGCTATTACATTAGCTATAGATGATTTGGAGCTAGTAGTGGGCTATACTATTAAACTTGCTCCTAGTAAATGCCTACAACTGTACCATAATTTCTTCACAGGAAATCAATTGGGATGGTTGGGAACCAAACTCCTCCGCACGGAAAACGGAGCAATCCATTAGCACGTGATTAGTTAAGTATTAGCTTTTTTTAAAAAAAATAGAGCAATATGATTCTTTTTAAACAACTTTCGTATAGAAACTTTTTTTGTAAAAAACGCATCAAAATAACAGTTTGAAAAGCATGCGCGCAGAAAACGAGAGGATGGAGCTGGGAAAAGGGGAAACGAACCGAGCCTAAGCAGGCCAAACAGGTGGACAGGAAGGAATAATTTAAACTATTCAGGTGGACAGGAATAATTTCTTCAAACTATTCAGAGTACTCCCTGTCATAAGATTATTATGTGAACGCCCGAAATGCATCTATCCTTTTAATTACTCAATGAATGGAAATTTGAATCCATTCCGTCAATGCATGCAATTTTCAAGCATCCAACCTAAATTTGTTCTTAGAACATCGACAGTAAGTTTCGAAAACATATCTAATCCCTGTAAAAGAACCAGTTTGCGCTTCAAAGTATTCGTCTAGTTTACCAGGAATTTCCATGTGCCAACCATGTAAGCTAGACGTCCTAGCTAAAGCTCTCGGTATACTAGGTACTATTTATATTTTGAGCGGTGTTTTAAACAGCGAGCTAAGACATTTAGAGGTTAGCCTTCTCAAAAGCTATAGCGGCTAAATTTTACATGAGAACAAACAGCTATAGACGGAGATAGCGGTAGCTATTGCAAGAGATTTAAAACCCTGATTTTGAGGCTTGTGTTCCAGGTGCAACGACAAACAAGTGATGCATATGTAACAATGCCACAACACGCATATTTGCATTTTTAGCAACCAAATGGCAACTCAAGTTCAGTGATTCTTTTTCAGTAAATGCCTACCGTGGAATAGTTTAGGCATGCATACTAGTGGCAATATGTGGCTACTATCCTTTCATCTGCGTAGAAGATTAAAAACTTCTTGATCGCCCATGTCGATAAGCAAACAGATTGCCCTAATTTTCACAGGAAATGCATAAAAGCTAGATTCTGTGCATGAAAAGATTGTTCCATCATCATCAGAACCAACAGATGGACACTAACAGTTAATCCCTGCTATAGGAACATGTTTTGTACACAGTTAAAAAAAAAGAAGCAATTTTCATGGGTAAATCAGTCTCCGATCTGAACTTTTATTTTCGGTAGAAAATCTAAAAGTTTTGGAAGTCTCAGTAAAGAAAAAAAAAACTAAATCACCAACGTACCCCAAGCTCCCTCCACCTTACCCCAATGGTTCGTCTAAAATTTCTCAACGAACTGATCAAGATTCAAGATACCCCAAGAAAACAAGCTAAAGTAGAATGAACACAGAGCCAAATTTGGAATTGAAGACACAACTAAGCTTAAAGTTTGTTGTTTTTTTTTCTTTTCCCCTAAGAAAACGAAAGGTGTGCGTCGATCCAGCTTGGAATCTGGGCACAGTACGTGGAGGTCGATTGATTCGTCGGCAAACACGGATATATAGAACATGAAGGGATCGATGGATCTATTCGTGGATCGAAAGGAATTAACGAACTGATCACCTGGGTGGCGTTGGCGGAGAGGGATCGAGAGGCGGCAACCGCAGGACGACGAAGCGCGGCGACTACAGGGCGGAGATAGCGCGTCGCCATAGCAGCAGCAGCAGCAAAGCTAGGTCGAGGTCTCGAGGAGGAGGAGAAGATTGGAAGCTTAATAGTGGTAATCCTCTTATTGGAACACGCAGCGTACTGCGAAGTAGATGGGCCTATCCGATAAACCCTAGTAAATCCTGAACGGTTTCCGGGCCAGTTATTATGCGATACCTACCTGGCTTTCTGATTGCCTTTGTCCTACGTGGACATATAAATGATGCTTGGATACATGGCTTTACAGTAAGAAAATACTACCTCCATATTTTAATTTATGACGCCGTTGACTTTTTCTCCAACGTTTGACTATTCATCCTATTCAAAAAATTTATGTAATTATTATTTATTTTATTGTGACTTGATTTGTCATCTAATATTTTTTAAGCATGACATAAATATTTTCATATTTGCACAAAAATTTTGAATAAAACGAATGGTCAAACATTGGTCGAAAAGTCAACGGGGCATCATACATTAAAATATGGAGGGAGTATCTTTTTTTTAAAAAAAAAAACCGGCGAGACCCATATATATCAATGGCGACGCGATTTCTCGCCGGGAAGCTCCTCGCCGCCGCTCTCCGCCGGAGGACTGCGGTCTCCAAATCCGCCGCCGCCCCCTCCTCCTCAGGTATGTAGACAACAGATCAATGGCACAACCAAATTAATTACGAGATTTAATCTTCATCGATGTCCGTAATCTAGCTGTTGTTAGTTAAGTTAATTTCCTGCTTGAGCTCGGAGGCTACAATTAAGTTAATTGTCTCCTACTTTGCATACCTGCTTATGTGAGCATGAATTTTAATGTGATTTTTTTCCCCTCCCTCTGTCTGCTTACATGATCATAAAATTAAGGACCTCAAGGAGTATGAGTATCACGTACAACATTATTTAACAATTCCATGTGTACAGTGTACTTACTTGCATATGTATCGATCTCAGCTTGTTTTTTTTTCTCTATGTATAACTGTTCCTATAAATTTTAGGGAGGATGCACATTCAGCAATGGAAGAACTAAAGAGACTGCATCTTCCATGAATGTGGACGAGGGAATGCGTATGCTACGTACATGAAGAATTAGCTAAAATTGAAGCTACAAGGTGAAGTAACTAACATTGCTCTTATTCTTGTAAATCGTATTTAAACGAACTCAAAAGGTCCCACTCAATGCATGATTAGTAGCATACATACAAATGTTCTCTCTGTTGTTTTGACAGCAAGGAAATAGCCGAGATAATAATGTACAACAGGTTCCAAAGAAAGTGTGTAATGGGATCAGTTGTTCTTGGGATGGGCCTTGCAGGTGTCTGTCACGAGCAAGGATTATGTGGAGAAGAATCGGGGTGAATGGGAATAGATTGGATTATAGTAGATGAAATAACAACAAACGGTGCTGAACCTAAACGGCGCGACGCTCTCCGTCGCATTGAGAAGGCAGGCCGATGGGCACTGAGATAAATCTTGATCTAATGCCTAATTGACCTATGATAGTATCCCTCCTTATATAGATGGAGGACTACTTAATCTAATCCTAACAAACCTTATCTAATCCTAACAAATCCTAATCCTATCCAATGAGCCTAGGACGTCCGGCCCAAAGCCCATGACAGTGTCTCTTGTGTCTGGTATACTCATAATCACAGGAAGGCCGTCAGGGAGGTGTTCAGGGAGCTGGAGCCGGAGCTGAAGCACGAGATCTTGGGAAAGTATTCATCACCAAGTAACTAGCCATGTGTCCAGTTCAGTTCTCCTTCCCTTGCAATGTGCTACTTACTAATCAATGGCAATGACTCTGGTGTATGCAAATGTTACCTCATGTTTGATGAAAGATTACACATCTGTGACTGTTTAGCTTATTGATAAGTATCCAGATCTCAAGGTAATTTACGATATCCAACAAGAGTGCAGCATAGTACTCAAAATTGGCTTCCTCACATCAGGTCAGGAGACCTGAACGGCAACATTTCAAGCATGATGATGATATAATAACGCTTAAGTTATAGAATATTTGTAGCAGATACATAGTTAAGGACGCCAGTTTTTGTATGGCCTAAATTATATAGCTAGTTCAGAGGTCCACCATCTCCTCTCCTATACAGCCCTTTAAACAAAATAAGCCTCTACTAGTTTTTGCATGTCAGTAGAAGTCTCATCATGCCCACGCAAGAAGATATATAGCTTCTTTCGCCTGGTTAGTCTTGCCAATACACTGACTTAGACAAACCTACCAGCCAGATGTATCTGTCAAATAAGTAGGCTAACGGTTATTATTCTATATAACTCATATAAATGTTAAGCTGCCAATTGTTGCAGATACTAGTAGAAGAGAGTCCAAGGAAAATAAATAATTTACCTCTTGCTCATCATATCCACTTCAATCTACTTCTGCAGCAGTGCTTGTGCTCACAACCTAATTCAGAAGAAAAAGGAACGGTTTAAAACAGATCAAAATCAGTTATCTACAATTTACTTCCCATGAATTCAATTTGATCTGACTTCAATCTAACTGGAGTACTTTTGTACCAGAGCTGCTGCTACAGTTTTTCTAACATGTCAAACCAATCCTCTGCCATTACTACCCCCATGAACTCAGCATTGTCTGCTTCTACCATGTAACAATTAATGGTTCAGGAGGGTTATTTACAAGAAACAGCTTGTCATAATATTCTCAAGATTTTGATATCAGTTGTACTATCCTCTTGAAAAAAGCAGAACAGAAAATAAATGCTAATTACTATTAACAGCAACAAGGAACTCTAATGTCATACAGTACAAGTGGTTCAGTCAGGTTAATGAAAACAACAATCAAGGATGTTTGGAGGAAATGGCAAGAGGGAAGTGGAACTTTTACATGATGATCACAATCACCAGGCATCAAACTGATGTAAATCCAGAGTTAGTTGAGAAAAGAACACAAGGTAGACATGCTCTCCAGAGCAAGGAGCTGAGTGGAATTTCTAACGTAGCCACCGGTGATGCTGTTATTTTCAAGAGTATCTACGAAAAAAATCACACCTTCGACAAATTAAAAGGTGGAGCATTTTAAACGCATGTTGTTGATACCTGCGAAATGTAATCCTTAAGCTTCCCACTGATGGACTCATCCAATGCTCTCTCTGCAAGCTCATACATCATAGAATGGCCTTCTGGCCCACTAAGCTTCTCCTTCAGTAGGTACCTAGATCAAAGAAGGGGTAAATCAAAGAGAACTCTTCCCTACAAATTACCAATTTCAGATAACACAAGAAATGACCACCAACCTTTGCTGCACAAGGAGTTCAAGTGCCTGCTTGTTGTTACCAAGAACAGGGTGGTTTTCATCGCTCTCATTTAAACCCAGCCGTCTCAATTGATGCCAGAGATCCTCTGAAATGTGATTGGCAAACTTCAGAAATATAATCGTCGGTGAACTTTTCCTGACTGACATACTGATAAAACGGAAACCATTACCTTCAGAAATTTTTCCACCGGACAGATGAACAATGCTAATGACAACAAAAGCGAAGCCAGACACATGGGCAGCCTCCTTATGCTCGACGTACTTGCTGTACACCTCAGGGTCTAACTTACTGACCAGGACGTAGCTCTTCGCATCCACATTAACTAAAACGAATTCCAATTCGCTAGTCATTTTATCAAATTCCTCAAGGAGGGAATAAGAGCAGAAGGTAAGTTACCCTGCTGCTGGGACGGGCGGCCAGAGCGGGTGGACGGGGCGCGTGTCCTCTGGAGCTCCCTCATCTCGTAGCCAAATGTGGCGGCGAGCCTGTCCCCGGCCTCCTTGATGACGAGTGCCGGGAGCACGCGCTGGCGGTAGTTCTTGGTAACGATCTGCGTGAGCTCCTCCCGCTTGATGGGGCAGCCGGCGGTCTGGTGCGTCTTGAAGAGCACGTGGCGCATCACCTCCGCTACAAGCTTGTCCTTCTCCTGCAGCCGCAGTGGCGCAGGACGGGCTGGTCAATTCGTCAAACACCTCGCGTGCGCGGAGCCTAGTCGCGAGACAAGCGGGAGGAGGACGGAGGGGGCGGAGAGAGAGAGAGGAGTAGTACCTCCGTGGAGATGTCGATCTGCGCGTAGTCGTCGCTGACGGTCGCCATCCGAACCAACAAGGGAAGGAACAGGCGGGGGAAGAGAAGAGGAAGAGGAAGCTTCTCCCTAGGTCAGGAATGGAGGATTGGGTGAGGAATCGGCGGTGAGGTTGGTGGAGAGTGGGGCGGCGGAAGGAGGAGGACGCGTCGGCCGATCTGGTTGCAGCGGTCGGCGGCGGCGGCGCACGGGGGGACGAGGGGAGAAGGGCGGCGGCGGAGGGGTTGCGTGCAGGTTGAGGAGGGAGGGAGACGGCGGAGTTCGCGCGCAAAAGCTGGCTTTTGGCGCCACCAGTTTTAGCTGAATACTTTATGGGCCTAAAGAGGCCCAAATCATGAAGCCTCTGTCGCTCCCCCCGGCCCACTATCATAACAAAATAAATTTATAAATTTTTACAAAACTTATTCTAATATAGTTTTTTTTAAAAAAATTAAAAATTTATTTCCTCCGTCTCAAAATATAAGCATTTCTAGTTATTAATCTGGGCAAATAGTTATTCAGATTTGTAGCTAAAAGTTATTATATTATAAGTGAGATAATAATAGTAATACAGAGTACTTGTGTTGTGGATGATAAGACAAAATCCAATATATATTACCTAATAAGTGGAACGGTTTATTAGAAAATACTTTCTCAATTCTAAAATATAAGGCACAACCACCTTTAACCCAAAGACCAAAAAATAATTATTATCATCTTATAGTTTGGATCATCCTAATAAATACTATTATACATGCATCCAATAGAATTAGAGAATGTGAGAATAAATGATTTAAAAAGGTAAGAATTTAATGGAGAAAATGTCATAGTTAATTTCATGTATATATGCATGTCTTATATTATGAAACATCTTTAAAAAGTGGTTGTGCCTTATATTACGTAATGGAGGGAGTAAAAATTACTTCATAAGTCAAACTTTTATATATTTGTTCGTAGCGACTTAAATGTTAACGCTAAAAGTAAATTATATTAAAAATATCTTAAAATCAACTTCAAAATCAGAGTAAAAATTTAAATGTTGGCTTTTGCTTTGATTTATTAGGCCAGTCAATGGGGCTCCGTTCACAAATCACCAAACGCAAACGCCATCGATTTTATAAACTTGATCTGATATGAAATCAGTGATCAAAGTTTCAAAAGTTTATCTAAATTTTACCTTAATAAACTTAAATATTTATGACTACATGTTTGTGCGTGATCGGACCAAATCCACACTCCTTCGTTCATTTGCAACGAATCAGTCATCAAAACGCTAAATAAACAGGCCTCGTGTCGTGTCACACGCCGCCGGTCTTTTCTCCGCCGCCGTCGCCGTCGCCGCCGTGGTGGTGGCGGCGCTTGGCCCAGAACCTGAGGCGGAGCTCCCTTCCCTCGAGCATCTTCTCCACCTCCTCGATGGGGAGGCCCTTGGTCTCCGGCACGCAGACGAGCACGAACGCGAGTGCCGCCACGGACAGCCCGCCGAAGATGAGGAACGTCCACGCCGCCCCGATGGCGTCCGTCAGCGACAGGAACGACTGCGCCACCGCCAGGTTCGACACCCAGTTCGCCGTCGCCGCCGCGCCGCCGCACACGCCGCGGTGCCGCAGCGGGTAGACCTCCGAGTTCACGATCCACGGCACCGTCCCCATCCCCGGCGAGAAGGCGGCGATGTACAGCGCCAGCCCCGCCATCGCCAGCCACCCGTACCTGCTCGGGCACCCCCGCGTGTACCACTCCCTCCCCTCGCCGCGGCACGCGTCGCGAGCCGTGGCGTTCGACGCCGCCGCCGCCGCCGCCAGGCACGCCCCGGCGCGCAGCTTGTCGCCGCCGCCCGCCGCGCAGAACCCACACCCCGCCGACGCCGCCGCTGCCTTGAGACACCTCGTGCAGTCCCAGAACGACGACGACGAGCGGGAGGAGTAGTCCGGGCATGTGAGCGCGCCGCCGTGGAAGTGGGCGGTCTCGGCGGCGCCGACGGGCGGGGAGTGGGAGGTGGCCTCGTGGAACACGGCGGAGAGGAGGGCGAGGGAGAGGATGACGCCGGCGAGGCTGATGACGAGCAGCTTGCGCCGCCCGGTGCGGTCGATGAAGTAGATGCTGACGAGGGAGCCGGCGGCGTTGAGGCCGGCGGTGACGAGGGACAGCGCGAGCGCCGTCTGGTTGGAGGCGAACCCGGCGAGCTGCACGATGGTGGGGCTGTAGTACATCACCGTGTTGATCCCCACCAGCTGCTGGAACACCTGCAGCCCGACGCCGGCGACCAGCCCCCGCCGCACCGTCGCCGTCGTCATCAGCAGCGCCACCAGGCTCGTCTTCTCCGACGAGCTCCTCTCCCGCGCCTCCGCCTCCACCGACTCCTTCAACTCCTCCTTCTCCCTCTCCACCTCCTCCGCCGAGTATATCTTCCTCAAGATCGCCTCTGCTTCCTCCTCCCTCCCCTGATCTCAACCACAAAAAGTTTTTTAAAAAAAGGCAGGAATTAACGAAGAAGAAATAATGGCGGGAACGAACTAAATTTGTTATTAGGATGATTTTACCGTCATTGGGTAGATACTATATGCATTTCATATTATAAGCTTTTCTAAATTATTCTTTTAGGCTAGGTTTAAGAGGAGGGAAAAAATACGTAAAACGAGATGAGGCCATTATCCCATAATTAATTGAATAGAAATTATTTTAAACTTTAAAAATGGATTAATAAGATTTTCTTTAAGCAAATTTCATATATACTTTTCTTTTTTGCAAAAAATACACCGTGTAATTGGGAAGCGTGCGCGCAGAAAACGAAACAAACTCTCTTTCTTCCTCCAGCTGCTGAACGTAGCCTTAGATTTGATTAAGTTTATAAAAAAAATATAGTAATATTTTAACACAAAACAAAAAAAACTAGGTTAGATGTAATGAAACTAATTTAGTGCTATAATAATTGTTATATTTTTCTATAAATGTAATCAAAGTTTAAAAATTTTGGAAAATAAAAATCAAAACGACTTATAATATGATGAAATAGAGGTGCAACCATATTTTCTGATATCTCTCGATATTTTCAGTATTACGAGGTAGTTCTGCTCAACTAAATTTGCATTACAAGTTTTGATAAGAGAACATCTCAAATGCTGTAAAATTTATCTTGTTACTATACCTTTCGGTAGAGCCATCTCGGCGACTCGGGGAGGAAGAGCATGAGGAAGAACTGGACGACGGCGGGGATGGCGGCGACGCCGAGCATCCACCGCCACGTCCCGGGGGCCTTGGTGAAGGCGAGGTTGATGAGGTACGACAAGAACTGCCCGCCGGTGATGAGGAGGCCGTTGGTGCTCACCAGCGCGCCGCGTATCCTCGCCGGCGACGCCTCCGAGATGTACAGCGGCGACGTCATGGACGCCGTCCCGACGCCGAGCCCGACGAACACCCGCCCCACCACCAGCTGCGCCGGCCCCGTCGCCGACGCCATCACCGCCGCGCCGGCGAAGAAGAGCGCGTCGGCCACCAGGATCGACGTCCGGCGGCCGTACCGGTCGTTCGCCCACCCGCCGATCGCCGCCCCGATGATCGCGCCGGCCACCGCCATGCTCACGATCATCTCCTGCAGTCGTCACCACCAACCCAGCAAAATAAATTTTCAGAAATTCATCATGTGTTTGTGTTCTTGCTGAGAATTTCAAGAACGTGTCGAGAAATTTGGTTGCGACCTGAAGCCATGTGTTCTTGTCAACTGAAGGGAAATCGTCACGGATGTAAAGCAGAGCTCCTGAAATCACACCTGCAGAAACACGCAACACCACAGTGGCAAGATCACTTCGCTAGCTAGCTAAGCAGGATACTGTAATTTAATTACTTTTACTACTTCAAATCTTCAGATATTCAGTTAAATCCAACTAATTAATCAACGGAATCTGATCACTTCAATTCTTCCAACTAACTGGTGTCTCCAGAAATCTCATGACATGAACAAAAAAGAAAGCCTCTTTTATCTGAAATTTTCAAGAACTTGCTACTGACACTGACAAGAACCTCAATTGGGCATTTCAGACACACAAAACCTGACACTAATAATCAGTGGAACTTGATCACTTTATCTCTTCCAACTAACTGGTGTCTCCAAAAAGCTCATGACATAAAACACACACACAGAAAGCATCTTTTATCTGAAATTTCCAAGAAGTAGCATGACACTGACAAGATCACAAGAACCTGAATAATTGTGAATTTCAGCCACAGAAAACCTGAAACTGATCACCAATCAAGAGTATATTACCGGTGTCGTAGCCGAAGAGGAGGCCACCGATGCCGGCGGAGAAGGCGAGCCTAAGGACATAAGGGTTCCTCCATGAGAGGGAGAAGCACTCTCTGAAGGTTGAGCCATCGAACTCATGAACACCTCCCTCCATGGCTATCTCTCTAATCTAATCTCTCCCCCCTTATCCTTTGCATCCCAATGCTTAGAAATGAGGAGCACAAGTTGGCCTCTGACTAGTATAAGTATATCTGCAATTCTGCATAGAGGTGTAGTACTAGCAGTAGCAGAGTCCCCCACTGCATTGTCTGCTTGTGTCATATGGTCACAGATGACAAAGAGAAAGAGACTGATTGATCGAAAAGGAGAAGATTCCGGATTATGGGATTGGCGTGATCTCGCCTTGTCAGTGTTTACTTTGACTCCAATGACTTGTGGTCGTGGTGATCCTCTCTGATGGTGACAACGAAGACGATTTTTAGTAGGATAATAACAGGCATTATTTGGTCCGTAATTTTTTTTTTGTCCCTGTTGACTGATGTTCATTTTCAAGTCAAGCTTCAGTGACTGAACTGTGGAAATGGATTTTAATCTGTCAAGTCATATTTGTTTTTTTACTTGTAGAGGTTAAATTCAAACTTGTATGTTCGTGAAGTGATATTAGTATGACATATCAATCTTATCAATTTTTTTTCTATTTTTTCTATAATTGTTTAAATGACATGTAAGAAATGAAGGGGCATCCCCTCAAATGTGAACTCTGTAACTGAAAACTGGTTTGTTTGTGCAGGTGTCAGCGGATGGATAAGTGGGATGAAGTTGTTTTCTATCCATTTCCTTATGCCAAATTTGATGTGCCTCCAAGTAGCAAATGTGAATTGCGTGATCGAAATGATGAAAGAAACTCTGTACCGAACTGTGTTTGTTCATGTGCATGTTCCCTGCATTATTTTCTGTCGCTGCTGTTTGTTGTTTGCCTACAGTTTTAACATTGACTACAGGGCCGAGTGGTCAAACTTTATCAAATTTGGACGAGTTTAAAATGGATTGGTCGAATCTTTAGGGCAGTGTATGATTAAACTTTCTTTTGACTCATTTGATCTAGATGGCGCCTATCTTTTCATCTTAGTGGATGGGAGTTCAAGATACCAAAGCGCGAGTGAGACAGCTACGTGAATGCATGTCACTGCCTATCAATTCCTTCCTCATCATGGTCGATGCGAAATTCCGTGCAAATGGAAATCCAAATCATCTCCAAAGTTGGGCAGATCTTTCAAGCATTTCTGGAGCATACTTAAAATGTGTTTACGTATGTGCCACTTTAGTACTTTAGATACCTTAATTTCTTTATAATAAACAAAACAAATGGCTAGTACTCATGCTGGTGGATAAGGCAAACATCTTAAGGTGGGAAAAACAAAACTAATGCAATTAAATCAGACAAAACTGGTAGCATGGGAGATATGGTGCGAACGAAACGGACATGTTGCATTTGCTAACCAAGATAAATAACGAGATCAAGCTGTGGAGCATGTGTGGAGAAAAAAAAACATCACGAAAATATCCGCTTAGCATATCTGGGTGGAGCTGCTCCAATTTTCTTCTTCCTTCTTTTTCTTCATTCAGTTTTTGCCTTTTTTTTTCCTTATTCTCCTCTGTCTTCCTTCCTTCTTTCACCGTTTCAGCGAAGCTGTCAATATTTGCTCCCCTGCTTAATATAACACCAGTTTAGCTTGGCTTCGGTTTAAAAAACAAACAAAACGAATGGCGCAAGTTAGGCTACAGAGTATACATAGCAGGAAGGCACCATAATTGTGATGCTTTCAAGAGTTCAGATAGGAAGAATGAAATTTTGTCACCGTCATACGATTTCAAGTTAAATTTTGGATCAAATCATAGAGAAATCACTTAGAGATGGTGAGATGGGCATATCTCCAGATGGCTGCTTATTATTTGTCCACACTCTCTGATAGCTTTAGTTTGCTTAACTTAGCTTTCTGCCTCTTGCAGTTGAATCACACATTCTTGGCACACCTGGAAAACGGCCGGAGAACCCTGAACTCTCGAGCCATCTAACTGCTTCTAGTGTATTGTAAAATGCCTGGCATTTTTAGTTTAATTACTCCCTCTATTTTATATTATGAAAATGTTTTTGATTTATTACATGTCAAATTTCTCTAAGTTTGACTAAGTTTATAAAAAAATGTAGCAAAGTAGCAAACACCAAATCAGTTTTATTAAATTCACCACTGAAGATGCATTTTATAGTGTATCTTTTATGTTAAATTGTTATTATATTTTTCTATAAATTTTATCGAACTTAGAGAATTTTGACTTCGAATTATAATATGGGATGGAAGGAGTACATCAATAAACAAAAAAGGATTAAACTTCTGTTCATGGAAAACAATCTAGGAGCAATTAATGGCTAATACTTGTGGTACTGAGGATCATCTCAGGTTTGGATAGAGCTTCTTATGGTCAAGTACATATCAACTTTTTTTTCTCCCTTTTTAGAGCAGCACTTGATCTGGCACGATGTACTCAATAGCTAAGCTAGCATGTGCATACAGGACTAGAGAATGCTACTAGAGTACTAGATGGCAAAAGGAGACACAAGAATGAAAGCACAACCGTTGGATATAGGAGTAATCCAATCCAAGGGCCCAGATTAATTCATTTTTGCCATTTTCTTCTAGGCAAGAACAGATAGGAGTATTTCACAGTCAGCTTTCATCTCTGTCCTGTACTGTCCTGGCATGGTGTGTGTGCAGTGTCGCCAAGTGTTGGGTGCTGGTGGCCGCTTGTCTCCTACCACCACAATGTTTCAGACTTTCAGGATGGTCCAAAATTAGCTCACAGAACATCAACATATAATCTTTTGATATTATGTCCAATCAACAGCATGAAAGAAAGGAACTTTAACCTCTACAATACCTGCATGCCATGTGCACTTGAAATCCTGAAGTATGGGCACCAGTGTGTTCCATACTGTTCTCTTACTTCCTCATTCCTAAAATATAAGTATTTTTAAGTTTGGCACGGGTATTAAGAAAGTATGTGAGAATGATTGAAGAAGGTGTGTGATTGGTTAAAAAGAGAAAGTAGGTGAAAAAGAATGGTTGTGATTAGTTGAGAGGAGAAGGTAGGTAGAAAAATAGCTTTATTTTAGAACAAAGTACTGTGCTAGAAATAGCTATATTTTTGGACGAATGTAGTATCTCTCTTCTGAAGTCTGAACAATCCATATCATTCTTGGAATCTTCTGATCCATCTATCCAACCTAGCACACAAGCTGGAAGAGATTAGGTTTGTTACTTTAAGTGGTCTATCCTTTTTTTTTTAATTGATCACCTGGAAGAGATTACTAGTATAACTGTCCTGATTTGATGACACAAGCATGTTGAAAGATTTGGGAGATGTTAGCCTAGGAAGTTGTGGTCAAAGTGGTCACACAATCTGGTAAGTTAAAATATGGATCGGAGCAACCCTAGGTGAATGCATGGGTCGGTCACATCACCATACTTTGTTGCTTGATTTTTTTTAACGACTCTCACGGTGCGAAGTTTTATTGATAGAACAGGAAAAAATTACAAGATTACAACTTTAGAGGGTCGTAACCAGGAAAAAGAAAAAATATACCACCACCCACACACCGACAACGCCTAAACACAAGTCCGGGAGAAGGCTAGCACCGGACCAGTCGCCGTTAAGCGTGACCGACCGCCGCTAGACTAACAAAGGAATACAAACGAGATCGCCACACAGCAAGAGGGTGCCAAAACGACGTCTTCAAGAAGAGAAGCGACGGAAAACCGCCGCGCCGTCTGTCAAGGCTCAAAGGAGCCAGGACTGGGCTTTCGCCCGGCAACCACCCTTGAGAGGCGAGACAGCACGTCAACGTCCTCAGGAGGAGGAATTAACCATCGTTGTCGGTCCGGCCAAGGCTGGGTTGGGTTTTCACCTGCCGCTCACCACATGCGAAACCATGGCTGACACACTGATGCTCCACCACCAATCAACCTCTGCTGACATGTGGGACCCCTGCACCAGCGCCCTCTGCCGGCTGGCCTTCGTACGCCAAAAACCATGCCACACCCACCTGCAGCTCCTCCACTCACCAAGGGAAGCTTTGGATGCTAGTTTCCGGCCACTGATGATTAAACTAGTTAATCATGCAATCATGCATAGGGCAATCACTGCCTAATATTTTATAAAGACTGTCTGCTCTATGTTAATAATAAATTGCTGATACAATACGCACAGATACTGTATTTTGCATGGACTGGCCTATCAAGAAAGTTAATTTTTTGCTTAAGCGTTGTAGATACGCAACCTGGTACCATCAAAAGCGTAAAAAAACGACCAATTAAGTACTGTATTTCAATGACCTAATCGCCCTTATATTTTCTTTCTTTCTTTGAGATAAGGATGATCTAATTATTTAGCTACTAGGACATGAACACCTACCTAGCCTGCTAAGAGCCCATTGTAGCTTTTGGGCCGAAAGGACAGTCCACAGCCTAATAGTAGCCTATTTCAGTACAGCCAACTGTTTCCAACCGTTTGAACATTCCAGCCCATCATGGGCTTTGCAAATGTTCTCTCCTCTCGTGTCAATTAACTTGACAGTAGTAGTTTCTTCATCAGTTCAGGCATCTACGACTGCAATTAATTAATTAGATGTGGTTTTGGAAACAGAAAGTACACAACAGTAGAAAGCATACTGTACTTGATCATATACTCTCTCCATTCTAAAATAAACACATCTAATACAGGATGTACCACGTCCCATACTGTGTTAGTTTATTTTGAGACTGAGGGAGAAGCTGGGAGAGGCAATCAAAATGAGCAGTTGATTATTTTTTTAAATTTATTGTGAAGGACGTTGATTAATTAAGATTTGGCACTGAAGTGAAAAGTGCATATACGTACACATGAATGCATGTACTATATAGATGATGAAGAGAGAACGGCATGCATGTGAAACGCCAACGACTTTCAGTTAAAGAAAGGTAACAAGTACCTTAAGTTGGGTGCCTGCATCTGCATGCAGCTGGTAGTGTTGATCGATGATATGATCATGGCATGCATATGGCCGATGGATGGTCCTAAATTGTGTGTCTTCGTTAATTTCTTTGACCACTTTAATTTGAGAGATTATGCATATATATTAATATTCCTCTGATATTTGCATATGGTGGTGGTGATCCAGGAGGTAAAATTAATATAATTAACATTCATTCATATTTTTTCTTCTCCTCATCACGCAGTGTGCATGCATGCATACCCCTCTCTCTCTCTCAGAGAGGAAATTAGAAATGCATGATAATTAACCATGCATGTATATATTCCTAGATACCAGTAGTTCTAGTATATTTTGGGTATGTTTGGGGAGCTTTAAATTCTGAGAAACAGCTATTTAGTAGCCAGCTTCTGATAATCTAAAAAAGCTCTGAAACCCAGCTTCTCCAGCTTCTGGCTTCTTAGTTCATTTTTCAGAATCTGTAACTACAAATTCTCAGGATCTGTGGACTGTTTGAGGCAGCTTCCTACAGAAGCAGCTTTTGGGAAAAGCTGCAGTTGAGACAAGCTCCCCAAACAGGGCATTTGTATCTCTTGTACCGATTTTAGATAGCTTATTAATTAGCTTCTTTTTGAAAGATTCCCAAGTGAAGGAGTGAGACTGGTTACACGTAAGCATTTACGTCATGCATGGTGGATCGATATGGTGCTACGATTCACAGAGAGATTGATCAGTAGGACTGGAACTGGAAGGGGAGTGGTGCAACTTTTAATTAATTAGCCATAGATGGTCCCGGCTGGCCGAGTGATCGATCATCCATCTTGCTGCTGATACGCACACTACACATTGTGTAATTCGTAGTGACATATGGGTCTCGTCCCATTCTAAATTGCTTCATTTTACAACAGAGAGAGTAAAAAAAAGTTAAATGACTTATAATATAAAATAGAGGTAGTATCTGATAGCAATAGTCAATCAGTTGGCGTCACGTAATTAACAATGTAACATATGTATACAAATGATCGATCCAACCATATATATGAGATCTCTAAAATGCATTTAATTATATGTGCGTACATACAAATATAGACGCCTAAGAAAGAGAGAAGAAGCTATAGCTTAATTACTCCCTTCCTTCGACCCAAAATATAAGAGACTTTTAGATGTACTCCCTCCGTCCCATAATATAGAGGATTTTGGGTGGATGTGACACATTCTAGTACAATAAATCTGGACAAACCGTCTGTCCAGATTCATTGTACTAGGATTATAGGACAGAGTGAGTATATCGACACAGAATTCAGATCCATAGTATTAGAAATTATCGCGGTCTGTATTAGTTATTAGTTGCGTTTATATACTTTGGTGTGACACGTGCTTTGCCAGGTCATCACTGGTCAGGATACTGCAAGCCTAGCTAAGCTACTAGTAGCTACTGTGTACTAGCTAGCTAGTAGCAAACGCCATGGCCATGGCACAGGATGGATCGATGGATGGATGGATATAGAGGGTTGGTGTTGCCTCGCCATGGCGATTTGGCAGCCAAGTTGCCCGCCCTATTCCCGGAAACTGATGTATGACTCTTTTGCATCCACCTTGCTCATCCATCGATCACATACGCAATGCAACGCAACACAAGCTTTAAATAATTTTCTCTATCTCTCTCTCTTTCTTTCTCTCAGATCATGTATATATGCAATTCTAGCTAGCTCTTTTGCCTGCATTGCATGCAGTGACTGACCCAGCCACTTAAAAGCACTGTAGAACCAGCAGCTAGCAGCTGCTGCTGCTTTCGCCATTACATACGTATACGTATACGTTGCTTTTGACTGTCACTAGCTCTGCCCTGACCGACCATGACGACGGCCAACAACAATCATCTGTTAATTGTTTGCAATGTGTGTGTGTGTGTGTGTGTGTTTGTCGATCGATGATGAACCAAGGACGACACTGCAGCTTTAATTTGTTCATCAAACGGTCATGCCACATGAAAGAATCTCGCAACCAACTCTCATCAGCTCAAAGAAAGAAAGTAAGAAACGGCCATCAGTTAGTTTGAACGAATAGTACTATAGCGTATACATCGCTACGTGCCTCATGCTGTACGTTCAAAAGAAGCCAAACTTTTGCTTCTTTGCTTTTTTATTTTTTTTGTTTAAAAGAAGCCAAACTTTAGACTGTGTAATGCTAGCTAGCTACTGTATGACTGTATCTCTCTTTTCTCTTTTTTGATCGATCAGAGTGAAGACACATTGATCGATCGGCACCTTTTAAACAAACTCAAGTTTTGGAAAAGCTAGCCAAGAACAACGTACACACCATGCAATTAATTAAAAGCACTGCATTTCCATTGCATTTCAAACTCATCGTCGACCAACAAGTAGCTTAAAATTAATTAACACACCGCATGCTCTTCGCTAATTAACCAACCGATTCAACAGCACACCACACCACACCAACCTAGGTAATTAAGCTAAGCTAGATCGCGATAGATCACTCTGTTAATTAATTATATCTACAAACTCCTCCTTGAGATAGATTAAAATCTTGATTAATTAATTAAGCATCACACATTAATCAATGCAAGGTAGGGATCGATGGATGGATCAGAGCCAGAGGGCGCCGGCCTGCTTGAGGAGGGGGACGAGGGTGCCATTGATGTGGCACGCCATCACCTTCTCGACGCCGCCGAGGAGCCTGCCGCCGACGAACACGACGGGCACCGGCGGCTGGCCCGGCGGGAGGAGCTGCGACAGCGCGGCCTGGATGTCGGCGGCGGCGGCGAGCTGGTCGAGCTCGTAGACGGCGGGGCCGACGCCGAGGCCGAGGAGGAGGCGCTTGACGACGTGGCACATGCAGCACCCGCTCGCGCTGAACACCACCACCGCGTTCCCGCTCGCCATCCTCGCCACCCTCTCGTACACCGACATCATCGCCGCCGCCGCCTCCTCCTCCTCCACCGCCGCCGTCTCCACCACCTGCATCCTCATCCTCTCCTCCTCTTCTTCAAATGGCACGATTGCAATGTAACACAAACACACAATGGCAATGAGAGGAGGAAGAAGAAGGTGGATGATATATAGATGGAGAATTGGTGTGGTGCGAGGGGGGTCAAAGGAGTGGCGACATGGAAGGCTTTTTTGGTAGTGGATGGTCGCGAGCTCGGCGAACACACGCTCTGACATGGCCACTGCCTAGCTGAGCTGAGCTGAGCTACCCAGTACACTCCTTTCTTCCTTTCCTTCCACCACGATACGGTTACCAGAGAGAGATGCAAGGTGTAGTAAGCAAAAGCAAGGGAGGAGGTTAAAGTGACTAGTGTTGCTTACTAGAAAGCTGGTGGCTTTTTGATAGGGGAAAAAGATTAGTAAAAGAAATAGAGGAGCTCTCTGGAATGGAATGAAGAGAAATGGAGCTAGCTAGCTAGTACATGTTGCATGTTAAAACAGTTTCCCAGAAGTAATTAACCATCCAGTGAAACATATATATATATAGCACCACATACATGAGGTAATATATGAACTATGTTCATTTTCAAGAGATCTTCTAGATAATGCAGCTACAAACCGTTCAGATATTCTCGCACAAAATCTGGAGAGAGATTTTATCGTACTCGAGAGGTACAAAATTGTAAGTATACTCCCTCCGTACTCATAAAGAAAATCGTTTAGGATAATATTTAAGTCAAACCTTGAGAATATAAATCATGAATAATTTTTAAATTGTTGAATTTGAAAATATAAAAAATATATGAATAGATTTGTCTTGAAAAATACTTTCATAAAAGTATACATATATCACTTTTCAATAAATATTTTTATAGAAACAAAAAGTCAAAGTTGTGTTTTGGAGACCGTGTCACTGTCCAAAACGATTCCCTTTATGAGTACGAAGGGAGTATATATTTCGCTGTCCAGTGTGGTGCATGCATAGATTTTACATTGCTAGAAAAATTTAATGTGGTACATTTGATACCCTGCATGACAGAAATTATGGTTAATTAATTATCCGATTCTTTTAAAGATTCCTATCAGCTGAATATTCTAATTAACTAACTCCCCAAAATAGGGGCGATGTGCATGCTTTTTTCGTTTCTAGAAGAATATATATTCATGATGGTTGTATGTATACATAATGCTCCATGTGTTTTGAGTGATATTGCCACTAGTACAGTACGGGGTATACTGTACAGTATAGGAGCAGTAGTATACTACTCTACTAGTATAGCTGTACTTGGAGACGGCTGGAGGAGGCGACATCACGTACGGACGGCCACTGTGTGAAGCGCCGACAGCCCGACAGCATAACGGCGGGGCCCTCTCCGTCTCATCTCCGCCGTCGTTTGACTCCCCCGGGCCCACCAACGCAACCTCCCTCCCGGGGGGCAGGTGGGCCCCGGTGATGACCTCCTAGTCGATGGATCATGGATCGTCGACACGTTACATCACGCGTAACCGTCTGATCGTACCGCGTACTACTACCCTTCTTGCCATGCGTTCCAACCTCATCGGACGGATGGGAGCATGCATAGATGCATGCAGGTAAATGCATGTCTCGTTTTGCTTTTTTTTTTCACAATAAAAGCAAACAATAAAGGAACTAAAGAATACTCCATTCATCCTAAAATATAAGAGATTTGGTTGGATGGGACACATCTTAATCCAGATTCATAGAACTAGGATGTGTCACATCGACACATCCAACCTAAATTCCTGGTATTTTGGGACCGAGGGAGTATATTAAAGATGATCAGTGATTTATTATAGGACAAAATAGTTTTTTTCCTAAGTATAGAACTGGATACATAGAGAGAGAGTTATATATGTCCGTATGCCTTGGACGATCGACACACATATTATAACTGGCGGAACAAATTACGATATCGTTGTATTGAGCTTAATTCAGAAAGCGGCCCTTATTAGATCAAATATTATTTTGATTTTCGAAAATTTTAGCTCGAGGTTTTAAACCTTTTCTACCTGCAAGTTAATTTCGTCTTAAAATCTAAAAATATTGTACTTAGATCAGGATTTTTCAATCGAATCTATGAATGTTTCTAGCCTAACTCATTAGTTTTCAATTGATGCAAGATCGACTTGCAGAACACCATGGAGTGGGAGAGTGTGGATCTCACGCATGTGGCTCAATCTGATAAAAAAACGATGAGGCACACCACAAAATAAGCATTTCATCACATGGAAGGAAGAAGGGACACTGGCGGGAGGATGAAGAAAGAGAGGCCAGGTTTCCTGGAGCGGTGCATATGCTTATTTTGCGGGCATAGACAAAAAAAAATGGAAAACCAAACTGTCAAGGAAATTGGAGGAAAAAAGATCGAGTAGCGGATAAGGTGTTCACCGGATTCTTATTCTAGTGAGCGTTCGCCAGTTAGGTTTTCTGTGGTTCCGACTACTTATATAACGCGATTGAGCATGCGATTTTAAGCTGGTTTTAATTCACAGTGAAAAAGAAACACACAATTTTAAACTAGATCTAATTCATAGTGAAAAATAAATGCAGAATGCCGGAATGGCCGAATGGGTGATGAGCGGTAAAAAGGTGAAAGAATGAGCTAGGTGAGAGAGAAAGGGAGGGAGTGAGAAGGGTAGCATCGGAGAGTGTGATGCAAAAATGCGGTCAAAGGAGGGAGGAGAAATGGGCTGATCTGATCTGATATCGCGAGGTTGTGCTTTTCTTGCTTTTTGCTGCATTCATGCATGGCTGTCTGCACGGGATGTTGCGCAGGCAGCTGTTATACGTACACTCTTCTGATTCCTCTAGCTATATTAATAGCTTCTTTTAATTTACTGTCAATTGATTAACTATACCTTAATTTGATGAGAGTAAATTTCACGAAATTATATGTACTCAGATCGATCTATCGTAAAACTATAATTTTTAATGAAGTGTGTATCATAAAAATTTAGCAACTACTCCCTCCGTTTCACAATGTAAGTCATTCTAACATTTTCCACATTCATATTGATGTTAATGAATCTAGACATATATATTTAGATTTATTAACATCAATATGAATGTTGGAAATCTAGATTCATTAACATCAATATGAATGTGGAAAATACTAGAATGATTTACATTGTGAAACAGAGGAAGTAATTTTTTTTCACGAAACTACGTATTTAATCCATCGTATCACCAAATTTTAGATTTAATATCAATTTTATTATAAAAATGTAGCTTTACATAAATGCCTTAAATCTATAGTTTTACTTGTTATAAATTCTATTTTAAATCTGTAGTTTTGTACTCCTACATACTTAACTTTGTATTTTACGATAGTTTGACAGTTTTATATATACTCTTATCTTAAGCTAGTATACCTACAGTACAAAGAGATGCATAACTGCAAGTGTATAAGAGATCGAGCAACGACTGGAACAGGGAAGCTAGCTGCTGCTGCAGGTCTCAAATTACTTCTTACTTTTGTCGATGGATCGATCTGCATGCGCGAGCGGCCGATGCTATCTCTCTCAAAGCTAGCTTTAAAAGGCGATCGATCGATCCGTGCCGGCCTGACCATGCAAGCACGCGAGCCTGACTTCCCTGACTGACTGACACTGCATGCCCAAGCTATAGCTACCTCACCTCGATCACCTGCATATATATGAATATGGATGCTCCCTCTTTTCTAAAACATAAACATTTCTTAATTAGACATTAATTTCAAATGTTTTGGAGTGGAATCTAGGCAATTTTAAAAATTTTAAAAACCAATCATTGAGTTGACGAGAACGGAATTCTTTTCCTCGATAGATCGAATTAAGTGCTTATATTTTAGGATGGAGTGGTATATATGCCGCATTCTCTGTAGCTTAATTCTAGAGCGAGAGTGGTGTAGAGGTTTCTGTTTGACGCCTTGTGCTTGTACTCCTCTGTGGAGTTTGCATTGTTGCACCCAATGCAACTGCATGCAAAGTACTCCTTTCCAATTTCCACGACGACTACTACACTACAGTACTGCTACTGTGCCTACACAACACAGTGTACAAACACAAACACAGAGAAAAGCTATTAGCAGGCGTAGTACGTCCTGTCCAGGTGCCAACATCAACATGCATGAACCAACATGCATTGCATGCTTGTCATCTACACTGTACTGATGGTGTACTCTTCTATACTACCTTCGTCCTATATTACTTGTCTTTTTTAGTTTTTGTTTGTCAATGTTTGATCATTCGTCTTATTTAAAAAAATTTAAAATTATTATTTATTTTGTTTGTCATTTGCTTTATTATCAAAAGTACTTTACATATGACTTATCTTTTTTTATATTTGCACTAATTTTTCAAATAAAATGAATGGTCAAACGATGTAAATAAAAAGTCAAAAACGTCACCTATTATGGGACGGAGGGAGTATATAGCTTCATTCTTTTCTTTCTTTTGCCTCCCAACATGAATATATATATGATCAGCTAGCTAGGTAGCTAGCTAGGAGTATATATATGCTTGGTCTGTTCCCCTTGGCTCTAGCTACTACTGCATGCATTCCTTCGATCTTAACTCCCCCGTGCATGCAGATGAAGCCTAGCTACAATTCTAGCAGTTTTTTGTGTGTACACATGCTTTAATTTCTTCTACTAGCTAGCTATTTCATTGAGAAAAGGTTTTTCTTCTTACATTTTGTGAATCAAGTAATGAGATACTACTCCCTCCGTCCATAATAAGTTCATTTTTAGTACATTCCGTTTATCCTAAAATAAGGTTATATTTGAGTAATCATTTTATTGGAACTTGTGAAAGTACGTAGGATAAAAATGTGTTGGGAATTGATAAAGAGTGGAATAATTGCATTGGAATTTAATAAAATGAGGGTAGTTTAGTCTTTTTAATTAGTTTTGTATTGATATATGTGAGGTGCTTCCGTTGAATTAAGAAGCACAATACCTTATTATTATTTTTTTTCTTAAACGAGTTATCAACTCGTTCACATTGCATGACTGGGTTATCATTTATTCATATTATAAATATTAGAATTTTAAATATATCATGAATACGTTGATTGTTTTTTGAATTATATAGCACTTAATTAGATTACAAGAATTAAGGGTTACAATGTCTATTCGTTTTTTGTTTAAGTGTATATGCATGTGAATTATGGTTTTTTCTCATAGGTTTTTCTCTTGCCTGTTTTTTCTCTCTCTTTTCATACTCTACATTTCCACACTCCACACTACGAGCAAGACATATATTATGCTTTAGAGCAAGGATAATAGTGGAATATAAGCCCGTACTATAAGCTTATGTGAGAGAGAAATGAGGAATGATAACTTATTATACATGTTAGATCTAAAATAGGCTATTAGCCAATAATTAGCTCTACTATTAAACTCGCTCTTACTATACATAATGTTCATTAATTATGCATGCTTTAGGTACAGACATAATTTAATTTCAGCTTGGCCACATCATATATATCTATT